TAGTTCTAGCAAATTTTTGTGTGCTTCCTGGAATTTTTAATTAATTAATCCAATCAATATTTATTGAGTAGGAAGTATTATCAGGTATTATTGTAGGTGCTGTGCAGGAATTCAAAGATGAAATGTGCAAAGAGACAAATTTGTAATTTAGCCAGAGGACTGACAATTTAACCATTTAAGAGGCAGTGATGGGTAAAAATGGCCAGTGTGTTTTTACTGTAGGGGAAGAGAGAACACATCCGGAAGTTTCATGCACAAGTGACCCAGCAGAAAAGTAAAGTTCAGAGAAAAGCAGCAACTTACTTGAGCTGATTTTTGTTTAGCCAGGACTGTGCATGATTTAAAAGATGTGCATGACACACGTAGCTGTACATAAGGCGAGTAGCGTGAAGCTTTGGTTCAAGGTGGACTGTCGGTCACCTTGGATTGACAATGACTACGTGTAGTTATGGAATAATGTAATAATGAGACACTGGATTGATAGAAAAAGTGTGGATTATAAGAACGAATAACACCATGTTTGCAGAGTTCCTATATTAAGACAACACATTATTTATGTGACCTCGGTTTTAGCTTAGCAAGAAGAAATCGGCCAGGAAATGTCCACACTTTTACAGGCAAATATCTTAGCCTCACTGGAGTATTTGGGGAGGGACGTGGGCACAGAGGAAGGGCATGGGAAGTGAGGCAAGAATAAAGGGAGTTACAGGCAGGAATGCGGAGTGGTGTTGGCATTCTGTTGGCGTCTGTGGGCACTGGAGCTTGATTGCCAGGATTTTGTAGGTGCCTTATGGAAAGTGTCTCGGAACAGGCATTTGGGGGACAAGGGAGGGAAGGTTCCCCCAACAGTTTCTGTCTCCCGGTGGTCAAGGGTGGCCCTGAGGGTGTGCACGACCCTGTTCTCTCAGATGTGCTTGTGTGAGTGCCGTGCAGGTCCTCCTGGGCAGCCTGGGGCAGGAAGCCAGAGGACTGGAGTGCTTTCTGATGGGAGATGCTATCACCACAGATGACCAGAGGTGGTCAGAGCCTGCACACAGCTGAGTGGTGCAGTGGCTGGAGGAAGCCGGGGCAGGGAGAACCTACAGAGTTGCACAGAGGGGAGGCAGATGTGGGCAGGCTGAACGCATGGCTCAAGGTTCACCAATAGGAGACTGAACGGGGACCAGACACCAAGGCTGGCCAGAGGCTTTGCCTCCACACCACGCAGCCAATCTCTGTTGACAAAATAAATGGCCATAAAATCAGAGGATTTACCAGTTTGAATGCTGCACATGTCAACAGACGTCTTAATGCTGATTAATTTTGTACTGGCAATATTCCCTTGAGTGATGTGTGCATGTAAGAAATTAACACAGTGAGTACAAATATCAGAAAATAACTGGTAGAGAAGAGATTGCACTAGAACCGAAGATGCCTAAGTTCTCTGCAAAGAAAACACATCCTGCTCTCTATAAAACCAGGAAAGGCATAGATATGTTGGTAGTGCTCTTGTAGTTAGTAAAACTTTACGCAATCTTCAGAAGTATAAGGTGCATGCAGAAGAATCCAAACAAACGTAGCTATTGCGACACCGGAGGGAGGCATCTGATCTCAGGAATTAGAGTGAGCATTTGTACATCGGCCAAATTGCACTAAGCAAGGTGGGGCTTCCTCCAGACCGGGCATCAGAACTCAGACCAGAGTGAGATGGTGAGGCACTTGCTTTGAGCACAAAATTGAACAGGCTTCAGAAACTAGCAATGGAGATGTCTAAGACTTTAATGCAATATTTAAAAAATCAAAATGAATGCCAAAAATCCAACATGAATCAAATACCAAAATTTTCTGTGGAAAGCGGGTCAGCATCGAGGATATTTCTTCTTGCTTCGGGCTTCAGTATGGTTTGACATAGCACTATTGTTGATCGACTTGCATTGATTCTGACTTTTTAAAAATACTACGTACCAATTATGGAATTTTTTGCCACCCTCTCAAATTTGTGCCCAAGATGAGGATTTTATTCTCCCGACCGTAGTTCTAGCCCAGCTGGGAATACTAGCAGGAATTTTCTAGGCCAGTAACGAATTTCTGCCAGTTGGGCCCATGCTATCACATGGCGATCTCAGACTCACCTTGAGTAGTCATATTATTTGTTATTTCATTTTCAACACAGTCTACATAGGAATAGAAAAACCTTTGCATTCAAAATGCAGGTCTGGTTTTAGCCTCTCGACTTAGGAAAGTTTTGATTCTCCCCGTGAGGTCAGCAAAAGGCAGAGAGGTCCAGGTCGCACTGCTGTCCGTCTGCCTGCTCAGCGGCCTTCCCTCCGTCAGGATGAGGTGGCACCAGGAGGCCCAGGCCCTGCAGTGTGCTCCTGGGCACCCCTGTGCTTTGGAAGGCAGCGTTCCTTCAGCTTTTGGCTGCAGCCCAGGAGGGAGGCCCGTGGTCGGGGCCATAAGTGGTTAAATTCCCTCTCGCACGGAGAGGCGATGCTGAAGGAGTGACGTCAAGGATGAGGCGGGCGTGTGGGCACGATTGAAAAATGAGGGTTCCCCGCATGAGAAATGGCTGCTTTGCAAAAGGGCAGCCTGGCTCTCGCCCAGTGTGTCTTCCTATGAGGAATGGGGCCATCTTTTACCTTCCTGCCTGAAAGGGTGTGTGAGCACTTGGGCCTGGCTCCCGGCTCACCCCAGCCATGAATTTGCTGCTTCTTAATGTAAAATCTGCCTTTTCTGGTCATTGTGCCAGTTTATTTATGGCCTGTCTTTGGGGGGCTCTTGATCAATAGATTTAGTCCCACGTATATTTCTTCCTTTCAGTTGTTCTTGGTTATATTTTAAAATTACACAGGACTGCTAATGATTGTGAGCTTGCACTGAGTGAATGGGGTCTTTGGCTGCCGGGCGGCGAGCCTTTAAAGGCTTTGTGACACCAGGTTAATACCAGCCTCCCAGACGGGCCCGTTTCTGGGCTTGGCTTCCACATGGAAGAGGAAGGAAGGAGGCTAGCTGGTGGGAAGGGTGGGCAGCCTGGAGGTGTGCCCACTGGGGATCTGTCCTACTATGGGGTGCTCCAACTTTGTCCTTACTGTCAGAGTTGCATTTGGACAGTTAGAATTACTGAGGGCAAGATGCCAAAGTCCTTCTGTCCGTTTGTCCACTTGCCCTTGGCCGTGTGCCTTCCGATATCAACAAGACAGCCTCGTAAGAATCTCCGGGGTGCCGTGCCCAGGTGAGGCCCGGGAACATCACCTTGGAAGGGCCAAGCAGGTGCCTGGTGCAGGGGGCATTACAATAACAACTGCTCATTGGTCCCTAAGGGAGCACAGCCAGGGGTCATGAGTCCTGCCTAATTTGAGCACAGACAACCGAGCCCAGCAACAGATTTGTGTGATTCAATTAAATTATTGTTTGCATTTTCATGCAAATGAAGATAAGTTCTTCTGGCGCGTGAATTGTGCGTTTAATAAAAGCTGCAGCTTTTTGGACTGTGAGCGGAATGTGTTAACTCGGGTCACAGGGGTGGTCTTGGAGCTGTGCGTTTCCAAGCGCTTCAGCCCACTGGAGCCCAGTAATTCCCACGGATTCGGTAATTCACGGGCAAGATATTCTCACACCTCCCCTTCCTTTGCCTCTTGTATTCCACAGAGCAGCCTTATCTGCACCTATCAATTACGGCGGGTACGGCAGTATTAATTTATTTCCTGGTATCTCTCTCCCTGCGCTTGGTGGGGGCACACTCACTTAAAATACAGATATTTTCCCCCTTGCTGGAGGCTTTGGTGAAACAAGGCCAATATTTGACATTTGGGACTTCAGCTGCTGCATCTCGCAAAGTTTGGATGTGTTAATGAACAGAAATAAAGAGAGCAGAGAGGCTGGAAAATTAGCGGCCAGTGGAGAGCATGCAAACAGGAAGCCGTTTGATTATGTGCATGGGTGCAAAATTAGGAAAAGAATTTGAAATTGTCTTGTGCACAGAGATTCCATTGTTTTCAAAGAATAATTCCATCTATTTTAACATTTTCAAGTGTAATTCCATTGGTAATGGCTCTTCCTTTGATTGTGAGTGATGTTAATTAAAGGTGTGGCTCTGCGTCTGTTTTGGCAGTTAGACTTATATCTTTTGTTTAAAAACTCAGAGTGCTGGCTTTCCTGCCCAGCCTCCCTCCGTGTTTCTGTTTTGGTGATGTGATGACAGACTTACAGTGTTTCCTTGTGTGTATGGTAACAGATGTTTATGTGAATAACAGACTTTTTTATGAAGGCATACACTTTATAGCCAAATACTAATTAAAAATAATTGCATGTAAGCATTTTTGTTTATTCCCTGTTGTGCATCTTTAATCATTTGAAATCACCTGCAGTTGAAAATTGAGGCAAAGATTTGATACTGCAATTATAAGAGGCCATCTGACTGTATATTAGGTAGAAATAGCAACATATTTGAGAGAAAAAAAAATATTAGAGCAGAGTGCCAGGTCATTCTGAAGTCTCTTGTATACTGGGTCAAAATACTAATACATAACTTTGTAAAACTAATAGGATTTTAAGGCATCATTCAACCACCGAAACAACTGCTTCATGAATAATATTCTATACCTGACACATTTTGTGCACTAACAAGCTCATTACAAGTAGGTTTTAATTAGAGGCGTAACAGATGGTTCCCAATAAATATGGGCAGTGGTGACGCCCTGGCCTTAATTTTTTTTTTTTCCTTTTAAAGACAAAAATTGCAGGTAATTGAGAGACTCAGAATTTTAGTCTGGGTTTAATAGTATGTGTTCAATTAAAACAAAGTGTCAAGCACCAGGGATGTGAGTCAGATAGTTGAACGCTGAAATAAGAACACAGGGTTAAAAACGACTTTCCTGTTTAGAAGCGAGCTTCCCCATGCCGTGGCGGGGCCGGGCCACGTGCAGCCCCCGGGGTGACTCACCGCGGCTTGCTCGTCCGGGCTTTGTTTTTAAGCATTGCCTGTCAATGCATTATGAAGAATTAATAAGACATTTCAGAGTGTCCATGAACTCCAACAGCGAACACTCTCACCTCTGTGACATTTAACAAAAACACTTAAGCAGAAAATAAAAGGAATGATTCGAAAAGCGACATGTACCTCTCTGCATAAAGCATTTTAATACTATTTGGGGACATGCGAAGGAAGAGCGAACAGATAAAGTAAGTTCCACTGCACGAATTTTCATTTTAAATGAACCAGACTTGACATTTGTGTTCCGGGCGGGGTAAGGCATTTGGCGAGTCTTGTGCATAAAAGAAGGCTCGGGTTTTGAGGTGGAATTTACTCTTTATTTATTTGGAATCATTTGCCTTTGGTGGAGAGAAAATTCTTCTTTAAAATAAACAAGCAAACTCCAACACACACACACAAAATCAAGAGAAGTTTAGAAATAAATGTATAAGAATTTAAAGAAAGCATCGTTTTGTCAATTTTTCTTTTAAATGGGCTTTTTTTTTTTTTTTTAATAGGGTCGGGGGGCCGTTGAGCGAGAACCGCAAGCCCCTAATGAATGCTGGTACCTTTGTAACCTCCAACTCCATCTGAAAATATGGTTTTCGGAATGTTGGTGTGGACAGCCCTGGAAGCAGGGCTTCGCAGCAGATCGACAAAGGGCTGTTTAAGGGAAAGCAAGAGATCGCAGTGTGCGGGGAGGCTCCTCCAAAATTTCAGAATTAGAAATGGAGATTATTGGACATGCTTTTTTATTCCAAGGGCATTTTCCTGCTGGCTCCCTTCCCACCATGTCCCTACCTTGTTTTTCAAGTGGCATTTCTTCCCGCACACACAGTGGAGTTGCGTTTCATGGTACGCCATTGCCTGAAAATAAGGCCACTTCAGGTATAAAATATTCCACCCATATTCCCTGGGGCAAATCGCTGACATGTAGCAGCTCCTTTGACGTGGAGCCACCAGGCCGACAGACGTGTGGAGAGAGTCACACATCTGCAGCATCCAGCTCCACAGCCAGAAATAGCATTAGTTAGAGTGTGAGGGTTTTAATTTCATTAAGAATTTTTTTGACAGCATGAAACCCCAGAGTCTTGTTCCAGTTGTTCCTATCACTTAAGTAGGGGAGGGGACGGGGAGGCAGGAATAAATCCCCAGGCTGGACCCATAAATTTCACTGTCAGAGGTAAGAAGCGCCCCTCGGTCTTTATCAACTCGTGGTGCTCTTCGTGAAAATTCCACGGACATCCGTGGGAATGTGCAGCACGCTGTGCGGGGTCAGAGGGCCCCATCTGGAATTTGGGCACTGGAGGGCGTGCTGCGTGGGGCCTGCTTTATGCGTGTCACCAAGTGGCATGGTGACTAAGATGCACAGAGAGACAGGGATGTGTCATTCTGAGTGACTTCAGAATGAAAATAACCAAGGCTTCCATTCAACAGATGGAATGAAGAAGCGCTCGTCAAGAAGCCGAGTGAGCAGTATGCGATCTGGCAGAACCTGCCCAGTTCTGATAAGTGTCCTCCGCGTTCTCCCCGCGCTGAGCCTGTTTTCCAACTGCCAACCCCTCTCACTTCCAGACCGTGCCCCCGCCCCCCATCTACTCAGGACAGTTGACAAAGGCCACGACAGCTGTGCATGACAGGTAACGACCAGTCCTTTCCCACCAAGAAGACTGCCTTGCCTCTGGTGACCAAGGGCCAGCAAAAGAGGGAAAGTTATTTCTTACTCTTGAGATGCCAGGATCACAGTGCCCCCAGGACTTGGGACTGTCATCCTTCATGCTGAACTAGTTCACGGGGACTGTAGCGAAGATTAGTAGATGCTTGGCCTCATTGGCATCAGCGCAGAGATGAAACCCAGCCACATGCTGGATGAAGTGGATGGCCTGCGAAGTGAAGAGCCTCGGATAGACTTTGGGAGGCCAGACCGTCCCTGGGTTGCCTGGTTAATCTTGGAAGAGCATTTATTTCTGCCCGTTGCAACTCTGTCTTCTCCCTACCCTGCTGTCTAAAGGGGGTTATTGGTACTGGGTTTTCCAATTGCTTTCGGGAGGTGTCAGTGTTGAAAACACGTTAACCAGACTACACATGAAGAGCACTCTCTTTGCCTTTTGCCAGGAGGCTGTGGTTTGTCCCCTGCCCAGCCCGGTCCACCTTCCAACATACTGGGGATGGGCTCTGCCTTCATTCCTCTGTCTGCTAGAACAAATTACCACAGATGGGGGGCTTACGCAGCAACAATCATGTCTTACAGTTCTGGAGATGAGAAAGTGCAGGAATCAGGGGCTGCCAGAGCCAGCGTCCAGTGAGGACCCTCCTCCTGGCTTGCACATGGCCGTCTTCTTGCTGTGTCTTCTCATAGTGGACAGCAGAGAGAACAAGCACTCTCTCCTGTCTCTTCTTATGAGGCCATTCAACCCATTCACGAGGGCTCCACCCTCATGACACATCACCTCCAAAGACCCAGCTCCTACCACCGTCACATTGGGCGTTAGGCTTCACCATGGGAATTGCAGGGGGGACACAAACATTCATTCCATAAGAGGTTCTTTAATGAGGCTTTGAAGGTTTTTCAAGTGAGTCCAAACAGTGTCTATACCCATAGTGGGTCATTTCCTTGGGAGCATCTTTGTTCCGACTCAAAGACCACTCTCCCAAATGTGGCCCCGTCGGCTGGGTGTGTGCACCCCATGTTTAGCAGAGATGCTGTTGAATTAGAGTAACAAGTGAGAAAGTGAGTCTAGAGGAAAGGTCCCAGGCAGATTTTGAACACAGCCTTGAACAAAGATATTATTACTTTTTACTTTTATTTCAACTTGATTTTCATAAGCTTTCCCTTTGTTTTCCCATAGCATAGCGCTCCATCTAATTGATTTACTTATCAGCCAATTGAAAAGGAAGAGCCAACAAATCCCAGAGTTTAATAAGGACACAAGTTTATATCTAAGGGGGAGCTCACAAAAGGAAGACTATGCATGGTTTTATCAAGAAGTTGGCGCAGGCCTCTTGCTCTGTGCCAGGCACTGGGCACGGGGTGAAGATGACAAGCAGGATGGAATCGGAGTCCCTGCATGAAGCAGCCTGCCCTCCACAATCACACCTTGGTGCACCTTAGTTTTCACTGACGTTATATAGACCTTGTGTTGTATGTATTAAAATGTGCTTTGGGCCATAGGTCTGATACATCTGTGCACAGTCAGTGAATCTACATAATATCCCAATCCAGAAACAAATAGGGAGTCAGGCTAAATTTTGCCATATTCATATTCATATTCATTCACTCACTCATCCATTCACTCACTCACTCATTCACTCATTCATTCATTCATTCACCATTCATCATTCATCATTCATTCATTCCATGCCAGAAAGGACTGCCTCCCCATGAAAGCCAGCATGGGGTGAGGGGGATCTCTCCGGAGTCACCTGAGCCCCCTCCCATTTCTCAAGTGGAGCAAAGCCCCCGTTCGTCTCTAGTCAACTCATCTAAGAGAGCGGCTGCCTCACTTCAATTAAGTTTGAATTAATTCTTGCTGGTTTCCTTTACAAAAACATCCAGGTTTTAATTGTTTCACCTAATTACTGGACTGCGACCCAGATTTAAGACCTGACACAGGTGATAGAAAACGATGGGTTTCCTTTGATTATATTCACTTATTGTCTCAAGAGCTTTTCGGAGCAGACTATTCCTCCTTTTTGTTACTCCTTATTTATAAGTCTGACCTTCCAGACTCTCCGACTGAATGAAATTTCCCTAAATAAACATGAGATCTCTGAATGTCTATGTCTTCACATTTAGGATCAAATCTGGTTGTAATTGTCCTCAGACCAAGGCTACAATGGTGTTTGATCAAATGAGAAAAATCTACACTTCAATCCACAACTTGTGTGTCTACCCAAATTGTGCAGGAGGCTTAAAGAACAGAGACCTGCAAATTCTATGGATGCTAATTATAGTATTCATTTCTAGCTACATATTTGCATGCAAATATCAGCCTGTATAAATTTGGCATTGAAAGCACCCCAAGGCTCCAGTCTGGCAGATGGGTATTGGATCACAATAAAACTTAACAGTACCTGGGGGCTTTGGGGCCAAACAGAGGCTCTGAGCAACAGGAGAGCATCCGTCTTTCCTTCTCTGGGATGACAGTGTGGGCTTTATACATTGTTCTGGCCAGAAAATATTTAAGAGGTGATTTGGAGAAACTTTTGGCTGATAGCCAATTTCCTTTAATGTTCTGCAGACAGTCTGTAGATCTTGGAAAGTAGGACATCTTTAAATCAATTTATTTTGTTTTACTTTAAGTTGAGGAGAATTGGCATAAGCTGGGAGGATAGCATAGGCCACTCCATGGCTTCGCGGGGACTCTGGCGGGAGGTAGGAGGCAGGTGCTGAAGGAGGTCTACATAAACCCTGGGATCAATTTCCCATCTTTTTTTTTTTTTTTTTCATGAAGAGTATTGCAAAGCTTCTTGGCCTTATACTTTCTTACTTTGCAAAAGAAAAACACTCATCCAGAAAAAAAAAAAAGGTGAAATTAGTGCTTTTCAGAGATTGAGAGGTTTTTGAGAGACCCCGGGCTGTGTGGATGTCCTAGCAGGGACCTAATCTGTAAGCAGACCTGGTAGCATTTATTTCCAGAGAACATAGATTTCAGGATGCGGCACAAGACGGTCCTTTTCTTATTCAGCTGTTTTGAGTAAGCAGACAAGAGCATGGATGCAATTAAAATCAAATGACAGGATATCTGAAAGAAAAATAGGGGCAAGGAAGAAGATTGATCAAAAAAGAGAGCTCCTGCCCAGCCCTGAGCAGAGGCATCCAGAGTTGAGGGAAGTAGAGTCTGTCACACAAGAGCATATTACAAGGAGAGGCACATCTTCTGCAGCTCTAATTTATACACTCACATTTTTGGAAAGATTTCAAGATCTCCCCCCACATAAATGGGCTTAAAGAGTTCTCTGAACCATGAATGCAGTCTGGCGGGGCTTCTGAATTGTTATCCTTTAAGGTAGAAAAATGAACTTAGGAAAATGATACCCATCAGATTTATAGATGTCCAAGGAAATACATTACTCAGTGGCTTTTGATTCTGTATTATTTCCTTGAAAACTTCCTTGCCTTGAACTTGGTAAAGCAAACATCTCTGGTTTTCCCAAATTCTTAGGTAAATGAATAAAACTGGGTGAAATATCAAGTATATGTATTTTCATTTTTCCATAGTTTCTAAAGATATTTAGAATGAAGGGCTAAACCCCCATGGTGCCCCACATGGCCCTGGCCGACGCCCGCCTCTCCACCATCATCATCACACCTTACTCTTTTTTTCCCACAACAGCTCTGGCCATGCTCACTCCCCCTTCAGGGCTCCTGCACCTCAGGTCTCTTCCTGCGCTGCACCTACCCCTCCCCCCTGCAACACCTCCTGCCACCTCAGCCTAACCAAGGTCAACTCATATCTCAGGCTGCGGAAAAAATGAACGGATGAGGTGAGGTCCCAGACATGCTCTTCCCAGTGCACAGGCACCTCCCTTTTGCTGTGCTTGCCGCAGGTGTAACTGCTTGGCCCCATCTGTCTGCCTTCCTAGACCGTATGATCCATGAGGCAAGGGCTGGCTCTGAGCTCTGGTGCCTGGTACAGGACCAGCACTTGGTAGATATTCAGCAGATAGTGTTGGAGGAAGGGAGGAGACACCCCAAACAGCTGGGGCAGGAAACTGAGACCAGGGAGAGGCACAGGGTTTACAGTTGTATTTGTAATGCACTTTATTTATTTATTTATTTATTTGAGTGCAAGCAGGGGGAGGGGCGTAGGGATACAGAATCTTAAGCAGACTCCATGCTGAGCACAGAGCCTGATGCGGGGCTTGATCTCATGATCCTGAGATCATGTCCTGAGCCTAAACCAAGAGTCAGATGCTTCACCGACTGAGCCACCCAGGTGCCCCTGCAACGCACTTTAAGGTGGTTACAGATTTCAATTGAGTAAAATGTCAAAAATCTTTTTTTGAGAAGTTCTGTTAATTAAGAGCACAGGTTTTAAGTAGCTTAAACTTCTTTCTTACCTCTGTACCTGCCCCCCGCACCCGCCCCTCCCCAACCCCACTCTCCATCCCCAAATCCAGACCAGATCGGGCACGTTCAGGGTGGTATGGCCGTAGACTCCATCCCCAAATCCAGCCCTAACGTCCCAGTAACGGCAGCTGGTGCAGGCACTCCATGTGCTGTGATACTCATTATGGGGTAGGTCCCAGTATTTCCCCCATTTTACAGATGAGCAACCAAGGCCCTGAGAGATTAAGTGAGCCATGTTCCAGGTCACTCAGCCGGTAAGGGAGAGGGCTGGGTTTGGGGCTGCGCTGCATGCCCCGGCCCTTAGTAGGAAGGCGGGCCACTTCTGAAGCCTTGAAGTAACTGTTCCAGAGACCAGCAGGGAAGCCGAGCTCATTGTCATTGACCCTGCTTTCACATTCAGTTCATAATGATCTCGCTTTCCCTGCTCCTGGTCCGCTGGAAGCATCAGGCTGGAAGGAATCTGAGAGGACTTTTAGAAGGTGGCACCATGACAACAGAAGTGATGGCTGGCAGGCTGACACAGGGATGGAGACAAAACTCAAAGGCAGTCTCGAAGCTGTGTACCAGATAGTCCCAGAATAGATGAGCCCTGCCTCGTTAAGAAACATTCAAATTTTTCTAGAGCCTTTCTTGTCGAGGCTAAAAAAAAATGGTGATTTAAAATGATTTCTCTTTAAAGGTGTAAGTTGCAGTCATACGGCAAATTAATTTCTCTGTATCCAGCAAAGGAAATATATCGCAGTCGGTATCTGCCAACTGTGCCAGAAGGAACTCTCCACCTCAGGGTGCTTCATCCAAGGCATGCCACCATGCAGGAAAGTGTCACCTGCCTGTCCCCAAGCTCAGGGATGGAGAGCTTTTCATATCCGTCCTTCCCCAAGTCTTCATTCTTTAATGTTCTATGTCTTCTCCTTGCTCAACCGTGATGTGAGTTCTGTGTAGCACCTTTACCTTTGTTTGGCCAGCCCATTTATTTGTGGCCCTTTTAATTAAAACACTAATTAATATTTTATTCATGGCCAGGTTATCAAAAGGAGCATGGAACACAGAGAATGACATGGAATTGCCAAAGGGGCAAGTCCTGGAGAAGAGTTTTCAAGCTGCTCATTTTTTTTTTTTTTGGCAAAGTCTGGGAAAAATAATTTTTTTAAAATGTGCTCTAATTAAAATGAGCTTTAGATATTGACAATGTTCTATTTAGTTTTCACTTTGTGCACTCATTTTACAAATTGGAAAATTTTCGTTCATTATAAAGTAATTTAAATTAGATGTTAATGGCCGCAGTTTTTCCTTCTTGATGAGTCAACACTGGGAGCTAAATTACCTTGTGTGTAAGGTGTTGTCTCTGAGAATAGAGCAATCCACATGGTCTTCTAACCTGTATTTAAAAGGACAAAATGAGACTTCTGGAGACTTACACTTGCCCTTTCACTCTAAAGGGGAGGGAAGAGGTTTCTGGGAGCTGTAGGACCAGGGCTCGATGCAAGCCTTCTCCCGGACCGGACTGCGACTCTTCTCCATGGCCAGGGCCTCCCTCTGATGGCCTTCAACCCATTCTTTGGTAAACCAACACCTTGGCCTCACAGTCTTTGGAAAACAGTGTCAACCTATTGTCCCTTTGATACCTACTACAATTTGTAAAGTCGTAAGAATTAATTTGAAATTGGAGTATGAACAAATTGAAGCCCCAGGTAGCTTTCATCTTCTGGTGACCTCTTGGTGCATATCTTCCTTCACAGTCCCTACCCTCACCCCGGGGCCCACGGCTACATGTTTAGAGGCAGGTAGGTGACCTATGGAATCTCATTAAAGCGACTCTTGAAATACTTGCTAGAAATTCTGGGCCAGGGATAGCGTCCTGTGAAGATGAGAAGACTGGATCCTTTGCAGCCATTTTCTGCCACGAGACAAGCCAGACAATGGATGAAGCTCACTAATAGAGGAGTCAGGCCTGGGAGAATGACAGAAAGATGGAGCCGACCACTGGATGAAGCTTATGCAGGAACTTGCCTGGCTCTGGTCTTGGGCATGTGAGCCAAGAATACCCTCTTCTTCTAAACCAACTGGGTCCTGACTGAGATGCATAAAAATTGCATTTTAATATGTGTGCCCTAAGTTTTAAGAATTTTACATAAAATAAAAATGTAAACATGATGTTGATCTCTTTGTCACCTGTATCCAGGCCTGTTTGCCTCCCTTCACATGTATAAGTTACTATAGCGAATTTTGTACAATCTTAGGAGGTTACAAAAAAATATTTTACTTGGAGATGTAGATACTATAAAAACTATCTGGTATTGTTTTGTGTACATTAAAAATTCATAAATACTATCATGGTTTTATTTGGTAACTTGTTATTTAAACTCAGCATTGTTTTGAAATGTATCCATGTTGATACATAAATATACATAGTTTATTTTTAAGGCTCCTGTATTGATGAATATTTGTGTTTTTCCCAGTTGTAACTATTGCAAATAATGATGTGATATACTTTTGCACATGTCTTGAAGAGTTTCTCTGGGCAAAGACTTGCATATGAAATTTGTGAGTTGTAGGATTTGTGTGCTCTTCGTTCTTTTAGGGACCACTACCTTTGCTTTTCTAACAATTTTACTATAACCAGGGGGTATGTGATATCCCACTTACCAAATCTCTGCCAATATTTGTTATTGTCAGACTTCCATATTTTTGCCAA